CACCCTTGGAGTCATGCAGAAACATCTGCAGAATGCTTCTGATCATATTCTTTAAAGTGTGGCATGAATTCCTGCTCAAATGATATGTCAGAATATCTCCCAGACTGGGAACTGTTCACTTTCACTCCCATGGTTGGTGCCCTAGACATAGAGTTGAATTTCTCTCTCATTCGCTTAGCCTTCTTGGATGCCTCTTGCAGCAAGTGGCCCCCACTGAGCACTGAGGTCAGTTATCTCTCATTTGCTACTGTGTATGAAATGTAAAAGGATCATGTAAATGGCCAGCAAGACTTGGGTAACATCTGATCCACAAGACCTGGGCCAGCATGGCCTGGAGAAAACTGTGCTGTCCACCAGCCAGCACCACTCTACGCAGCCATTAAAGTCCTGCAAAGTCCTGCAAAGTCACTGCTTTGGGAAAGACAGACTCAGAGCTGATGTAAACCAAGCATGGAGATGGCAGGCACAGGGTTGTACATTCCTTATGCCATCCAGCTGTTACAGTTGTAGTCACCTCCAAAGCCACATGTGTGACAAAGCTGGTGCTGGATTTCGAAGGACAGATTGGTTGGAAAGTGGATCCCTTTGGCATCCTGAAAACAAAACAAAGCAAAACAGAAGCAAAACAAAACCTATTTCTGTGAATAACCACAAGGGGGAGCCCTACCCCAACTCACCTCACTTGAAAGACAATGGTTTATTCTTATGGGTGTGTGTGTGTGTGTGTGTGTGTGTGTGTGTGTGTGTGTGTGTGTGTGTGGTGTTACAATTTTTACATTCTACTCCCTCCCATGTTTCCTTTCTTCCTCTTCTCACGGTAGTGGGCTTGGAACCTGGGCCTCACGCTAGACAAGCATTCTACTGCTGAGCTACATTCCCTAGACACATCCCTAGACATTTTCTTTCTGTCTAAATTGCAAGGGTCCTTTACTGAAACATTCCTGACTGATGTAAATATGTCTACAAATATTGGGTGCTATCAGCAGGTGTAATACAGAAAACGCTCAGATGGAAGCCTCTGTGCTGTGGAATAAAAGTGTATTCTTTGTCCTCCAAAAACCAGGGAAAGATGACAAGATCGCACTTAAGGAAAACTGTGTGCTTCAGCCACAAAGGATTTAGTTATAATTAAACAGATCATTTGGTGCACATGGTCAGTGAGTGCTTACACAGGAATGCTCTTTTGAATTTGTGATCTCCTGCTTCAGTGCTCATGGCAAAGCTTGAGGAATTCATGGGGCCAGTTTGCTTGTGTCTGTGTCACCGGACAAATAATCAAGTTGGCAGAGCAACAGTGACACATGTCATAGGACAAAGGGTCCATCCATATCTAATATTGGCAAGTGATACCTGGGACTCTAGGGACTAGGAGCCCCATCTTCTGCACACACATAGCTAAGTGTAGATGTGTTACATCTCAACCTGCCATTTGAGGCAGACTGAAAGGGAAATTGTGTGGTGTCAAATAAATTTTCCCTCTACCTGCTAGAACTGGTACCACTTAAAATGCCTAATTGAGGAACTATGAGAATAACTGTAACATGTTATATAGCCAGCTAAATCATACTCCAGTAGGCATGACCATGAATTCTATTTCTAGACCACATTCCATAGCACTTATGGGATGGGCCATGGAATAGGATAGGCTTTTGTTGCAGTCACCGTGAATGCCTACAAAGTCTAGTCACAACTCAGCAAACAGAAGAAACTGTGGCAGAAAACTTGAAGAGAAGACATGTTCCATTGCAACTTCCTCTAAGGCAAACTTCCATCTTGAAGCGGGGCAGACACAGGATGTTCTGAAGGGATGTGAAGTATTCCATATTGTGAAGAAAATCGATTAACAGGAAGAAAACAACTCAAAGGATGCAGGAAGTCCCAGAAACTTACCAAACACACTAGATCTCCCTTTTCCCAAAGGTATACAAGCAGTAAGGACAGATGAGAAACCCTCTCAGACAAGTTGACCTAGAAAAGGAAGAGGCCAGCTGAGCTTCCTGAATGAAGCTCAGACATATAGAGCCTTCTGCAAAGGACTGTTTCCAATCTGCCCAGCTGCCTACAGGTTGGGCAGTGTACTCCAGGTCTCTAGATTTTGCGAACTGTCACTTGTTCTGGAGCAGACCTTGGTGATAAGGCTGCCTGGGAGTCATGTCTGCTTCTGTGAGTGATCCCTCACCTATATGCTTATAAGTAAGACCAATAAAACTCATGGTTCACCAAGATGGACTTTGATGGTTTCCTTACTTTGGTCTCCTCTATGTTCTCTGTCTGGGCTGAACAAACAAGTGTTCACATCTCCCCAGGAATATGCCAATGATGAAGGAGTGGGAGTGAAATCAGGATTTGGTAATCCAGAGGTTCCAGAGGAGGTTCAAATGTGAAAATATGATGAGAGTCAAGGAAAAGACTACCCATCAGTAACACAGTGTAAGTACACATACTAAATATTCTTGGCAGCTTTTATTTGTTAAATCTAGTAAGCATCTGGGAAAACCAGGTGCCCCACCATGTGGGTCTTGTGGGAGCCATTTGTTTATTTATTTATTCATCCACTTAGTTTTTAACTTATCTAATTATCTATCTATCTATCTATCTGTCTGTCTATCTATCTATCTATCTATCTATTGTTAGCAAAATGGAAGATAACCAGAGGTAGCCAAATGTGAAAGTAAATGTGAACAATCTAAGAACACCACAACTGGCTGTCCCAGGCAGTCGGGGTGAAGAAATGACTGTGACTCTTGAGTGATGAGCCCACACTTTGCTGGCAGGTGACCCTTAGAAAGGCTGAGCTGAAAGGGACTAAGAAGGACCAGCCAGATTTCTGACAGAGGAGACTTTGGTGAAAGTTTGAAGTTAACTTTCACTTAGGAAGGCTTGCCTACATAAAGTAATTACATGCTCCTGTGCTTTGGATTTACAGTGTTCTCAAAAACTCATCCTGGTGAAGCATCGGTCCATCATCCTTCCAGTGCTCCTGGGAGGTGGGCTGAGCTGGGGATCTTCAGCTACTGAAAGTCCACTCCTATGGGACTTTGGCTCTACTTATCTTGTTTTGGCCACATGGTGTTTTGTTACATAATTGAGAACTAAAGACAAGACGCCTGCACAATCACAGAATGGACTTTCTAGAATTCTCAGCTAAAGAAAAACAGTGATTGTACGAGCTGTTTGCCATGTAGAAAAGCATGGAAACATTTTCTGAATTTCTAACAAGATCTGAGGACAACCTTCCTTTGTACCGCCTCACTGACAAGAGTCAGCGCTCTCTTTTGAGCAGTGGACTGAGACTTGCCTGCAGGCACACGTGGGATTTAAACTGAAGTTGTTATAGAAAGTTAGGGCCTTCACTGACATCTCCGTGCCTCTCATTGCGCTCTGCTCATGATGACTCCGTTGCCCACTTGCCCCTTTCTTCTCCGTATACACGTGGATGTCCAGACTCCACATGAAAGAAAGCACTCACGATCTGTCTTTCTCCGTCTGTTTCCCCTCCTTATAACCCCTTCCTCCTGCACGTAAGTTTCTCTCTACTCCCAAGTCCTATGCATACTTGTATAAGTCCAGATTCCACAGAGGAGAGAAGTGCTGGCCAGTTAGGCACATGTTCTTTATCCATGCCATGGAAGTCTTTGTCTTTGTTTCTTGCCAGGAAAGGGGCCCATGTGGGGCATTTCTAGTGTTGCTGATGACTGGAAGTACCGTCTCCAGATAGTTACCTCCATGGGTTTTCTGGGAGCTCAGCATAGCTCTTTTCTCATCATGGCCAACGGGGCTGTAGTTAAATTTTGGTTGGAAATACATCAGTGGAACTCCCCATCACCCTTCGTCTCATTTACATCTCAAATTGCTTGTCTATACACATAATGTTGATAAGAGATCAAATTATTATTCCTGGTGTGGTGGTGCATGCCTCTGAGTGTCTCCAACACAGACACACACACACACACACACACACACACACACACACACACACACACACACACACTTTTTCTAAAAGCACATTCCTAGTGGTAACAGAAGGAAGATTGCCCATTGATTAAAACCCTTATCAACTTACATTAATTCTCTCAGAACTTGAGTTGGCAAATGTATAATTGATAACAAATAAAATAATTTTGACAACATAGTAATTTTTTTCTTCCTTTTCTTAAATTTAAGTTAGAAACAAGATTGTTTCACATGTCAATCACAGCTCCCTCTCCCTCCCCTCCTCAATCCTCCCCACCAGACCCTCCCAGACCCCCACCCAATTTCTACTCCAATTCCCAGGGAGGGTGAGGCCTTCCATGGTAGATCTCCAGAGTCTGTCATGTCATCCAGGGATAAATGCTGATCTACTACACAAGGCCCCATAGATTACCTAGGCCTCCTAATAGTCACTTTTGTTGATCAGCCAGCTGAGTTGTAATTTTGTTCCCAAGAGTGGGTATCTTTAGCTGTACCTTAACTCTAGGTCCTCACTTAATCAAACTCTATCAGCACTGATTCTTCTTGGAGCAGTAGGAGCCCTGTAGGCTTCTGAGTTCACCTGCTTCGCTGAGTGTACCTGGCAGAGAAGGCCATTGTGCTGGTTACCAAAGGTACTCAGGTCACTTCCCTGGAAAACCAGTAGGGTGACATTTGCTTTGCCACAGAAACAAGTGGGCACTATCTGATCTAGTGTACCTTACAGTTTGGCAGGGCATGGAACTGGTCTGCTGACTGATGGGGTGTTCTGAAGCAAACCCTTAAACGGAGCGCGTATTACCGATGCCAACAGGAGGGTATGCAGTGATCTGCCTAACTGCTCCATTCACAGAAAAAAAAAAAAGACAAAGCACAAGCTCTGCACCGAGCTTTACATTTCCCATCATTTCATCACCACCTGGTCTCGGTGCTGAGGTCTCCTGCAGGCACCCACACGGCTTCCCACCTAGCATAACAGGTGCGGTGGTGTCCACCTGCGGGGTGGTGGCTGACAGGTTTCACAAATAACTGAGAGAGAGAAAAACAACTTTCACCACAGAATTAAAATATTTAATGACAAAATCTGAGCTGCTGTAACAGTGAACCAACAGAACAGCTGTTACTCGTCTCCAAATGCAACAAAAAAATGGCGCTCAAATGTCAGAGAGAATTTCTGAGGAGCCAAGAACAACACACATTGACAGCATCACAATTCTGAAAGTTAGGAGTGAAACCTATCTCAGCTAGTTTCTCCTATTTAGGGGACTCTGTTAAAGTTTCTACATAAATGCATAACCTTTGCTAGCCACAATAATATAAGACAGATTTCACTATAATTTTAAGCCTAACACATAATCTTACTTTTATCAGACCTTAGAAGAAGTTAGCTACAGATCTTGTTACATTCTACAAGTACATTCTTTAAAATGAAGCATCAACCTGAATAATGCATAGTTCCTGTACATGGATAAGTACTCACTCCAGTGAAAAACTCTACAGCTACATTCCAGGAAGAAGCAGAGACACTGACAAGCTCCTTTTCTTTATGCATTGTCAATACAATTTTCAAAGTCCTTCAGAGAAAGATAGCATTTCCAAAAATCTTCTATCAAGCTCAACCAAATGACTTGGTCCCAAATGCCTGGAGTCCTCTTAGCAAATTTCTGTGGGTCAGACTGAATTAATATTTCCCAATGCAGTACTTTCTACCAAAGGATAGCAATGAATCTCATGTGTGCTCTCAGGGGCTTCTCCGAATGAGGTTGGATGGTTGTCGAGGGGCAGCAGTGGCTGTTATAGCCCGTGTGTGGTGGAGGACAGCAAGATTCACCATAGGTCAAGGTTATGGTGATGGCCTGGAAAGCCAAAGCTCCAGGTAAGCTTCTTCCAGTTTAGGCTATTTCTAACAGGACTTAGGCCTAAGGTGATCAACAGAGAGAACAAGAAGATAGCATGTGAAGGGCACTTACACTTGTAAAAAGCAACTACAAGAATTATGCCGAGGAGGAAGACCCAGCTTTCACAGAATGCACATGGCCTCACTCTCTGTCCCTTCAGAAACAGCTGCCATAAAGCTGTTGGCAGGTAGCAGACAACCAATTTTACTCTTGAGTTGTGTGGGGAAAGTGAGATTCCTTCCCTCAACTATTTATACCACCTCTGTGAGCCTGGGATCCAGTTTTGGAAGAAGAGTATGTGTGTTTCCTGAGATAAAGTCTACAAATGAAACCGGTTTGGAATGATACTTGGGGGATTTTTATTTTTATCTTTTTAGAAATCAGATAGTTCCAATAATCAGCTGATGGCAGGTTCCTGGCTTCTTTAAAATGTTAAGACAGTGAAAGAAAAGTATAAGATATCATGAACATTCATCTTCCACAATATACATGTTGTAGTGCATTATTTCACTGGACTGTCTGCCCAAGAGGATTCACAAACTCTTTTGCAGCAAATCCCATCCTCCCGACACCATACCCATGTTATTATTCCAAGGACAGTGTGCTCTTTCCCTGGGATGCATTATTAGGAGAATTTAAGCGATTTAAATCAGCATTAGTAATCTAAAGTCATCTTATGCTGCTGCCGCAGAGGCTACATCACACAAAAACAGGTGACTTGGTGCATAGGAAAAAAGAAAACAGGTCCCGAAGACCCAGGCAGCTGAAAACTCCATGCATTGCAGTGAGTATCTGGTATATGTAGCTTGCCTCATTGCCTTATGAGGGACAAGCATAGGGTTTATTTTTATGTTTAGCTTTTATCCGTTCAGAAAACAAAACTTCCACAGTCTAAGTGTAGTGTTACCTTGAACAACACAGAATCCAAAAAGTACGGAAGAGCTTCTGTTCAATCTGACAGCAACACAAAGGCTTGTAACCATCCTGTCTGTACCAGAACAGGCAAGTCCAAATTGACAAACATGTAATCTGTCAAGAAGCACATGTTAAACGACACAAAATAAACTGGAAACAAAAACAATATCCAAAACCCAGATACGAAGAAACCAAAGGTCCTTTCCCAAGGCTAGTGTGAGAGTGCCTCTGACATTAGGCATTGCTTTGTAAAAAGAGAGAAAAGAAAGTAGTATCTTTTCACAGTATAATATATGTAGACTTTTATCTAGACAAATAATTTATTTTTATTTTACTTTATTCACTATTATTGTTTATTTGTGTATGAGTTTGATATGGTGTGTCATGACACATGTGGAGGTCAGAGATGAACTCTGTGGCATCTGGTCACCAGGGTTATGCTATAAGCACCGTCATCCACTGAGCTACCTCAATGACCCTGGATAAATTATTTTTGTTAGAAATATAAGTCCCTCCATGTCAGCTACTATAATTTAGGAAGATTACAAAAGAGAGAAACATCCATGAAGACACAGAGATTTTAAAGTAGGCTTTTCTATAGGGCTTTACACTCAAATTTTTATCCTTCATATGATAATTCCAACTAATCAGACTGGAAAGAAGGAGCAGAAATGTTTATGCTTCATCCCAGAAAGTAGATTTCTATTTGTGATTCTGATTTGTTTTATGAATGCCAGTGATGTTTCATGCAAAAAGATTAATATGTAAAGAGAAAAATCCAATACTGCTCTTTTCCGTAGCACAGGCTTAAGTCCCAAGATACCGAATTTTAATTTTGCTCTTCAAATTAAGAAATGTAGAAAAGTAAGTGAAACCACTGAATGACTTTAAATTTTACCCAGGACCATTGTGTAATGCCAGCATATTCAACTGTTTTGTTGCTTAGTTTCAGAGGGAGAAAAAATACATTTTGCTAGTTTAAACCTGGCTTATCATTTAGTCTGAATTTCATATTCAAACTACAAAACAATTTTCTTTCAAAAGGAAAACACACACATACACACACACAAATGGAAAAATAAAAATGAGGCTGACGCTATTGCAGCATTTCTTGGCAAGATAGGGAAATGTATAAACACAACACATTTTCATTCATATTGACAACTGAAGATGAAAAATCAAAGTCACTCAGTGTCCAGATACTGGAAAAACCAACCAACCAGCCAACCAACAAAACAAAAAGAAAGAAGCAGCAGTCTTGAATTCTCGTAATCACCGCTGAACAAATTCTTCCATTTGCTTTAGAGGATAGGCAGCTTCTCAACATTTGTGCTTCATGGCAAGCTAAGGAGAGAAAGGGAGAGCAATGAAATCAAATGAGACCTCATTTGTAGGGAAGCTCTCTGCCTTTCCTTCCCACACTGAGGATGAGACATGTCAACAGACTGTGTGTGGTGACGGCCATGATTCCTGCCCACAGTGTCTCCTGGTAGATGTGCACAGGACACTCTACTCTGTCAGCATTGTTGGTACATGTGTGTGCTGGGGGAGGATGCTGTGGGGTGCTCTTTCATCCCACTGGGGGAACAATGGAAACAAAGTGGACAGGGAGGACAAGTGACTTGCCCTAGGGACAGGTGGGATTCCGAGGTTACTGGTTATGTCAGGGAGCAACACTCTTGAGATGTTAATATTTGATGACATCTCATGAAGTGTGAGAACGCAACAGCATGCTGAGAGACCATCTAAAATCGTCTCTACAATATGCATGCTGGATTTTCAACCAGATCCAAAGCTCCTGACAATTAAATTGTATTATTGAGTAAGGATGAACAATAGACCTTAACTTCTAATTATTGGTGCTCTGCCTCACCATGGATGTTGTCAATATCCATCCATCTTTCTAGCAAAGCCCAGGGCAGTCACAGTGCCATCTTCTGGTGGCTGAATGAGAGAGGTTAGAACCCTGAGTCCCACTGGGAAAAAAATCAAGATTTCTGCACGTGACAGTGGATGGGCAGACTGGATCCTGGTAGTGCCTGCAAGGAAAACTTTAGCTGAAAGCGTTGGCATCCCTGTATGGTAGTGCCAGTGAAGACTTCCCAAAACCTCTACTGGCTGATGGTGATGTTTAGCCAACTGTCAGATGCAGAATTTGTGACCTCTTAGTTCTTAGTACACCAATTCTTCTATACTAATTGCTAAAGCTTTTCCTTCTCCTCCTCCTCCTCCTCCTTCCCTTCCTCCTCCTCCTCCTCCTCCTCCTCCTTCTTCTAACTGTGGTGTTGCCTAAAACTCTTGGCATTAAAAGTATTTAGTTACTGAAACAGTGAAATGATAGAGTTAGGGCTCAGCCTCAGACTATGCCAGCCTTCAGCCACATTCTGGGGCCCTTACTGTCAGGCCTACCTCTTTGTTCTGCTGCAAGTTTTTATATATTATTTAATCAATGAGGTCCATCAAATAAACACAGAGCTGTTAAGTGTCGTGCATAATGAATACCAACCATAAATATTTGATCAAGGCTTCTGTGCTGGTATTCCTTGAGCTGTTAACTTTCCACTAACAGGCTCGAGCCAGGTCACACATGGCCACTCATCTTCAGGAATGACTGTGCTGTTGCTCAAGCCAGACTCTGGGTCATGGCTACCTGTATTTTCTTTGCAGAAATACAATTGGGTAGGACAGTTTGATACTCAGGTCTTGTAATGGTTCAAATATTTGTGTTTTCCCAAAAGCCATGTGTTGAAACCTGTCATGAGATGGCATTAGGAGGTACACTTGGGAGGTGACTGGGCCATGATACAGAGTCTTCACAATGAATTAGACTCCCTTTTCACTATGACTGGATACTTACTCTCAAAGGTCACCATAAGTGAATCAGAAAGAAGACCCTCTCCAGGCATGGAATCTAGAAACCTGACCTCGGACATCTCTGTGAGAAATTCACTGTTTATCAAGTACCAGTTTGTTTGTTTGTTTGTTTGTATACTTTAAGTAGTCTGAATAGACTAATGATAAATATTTGGATAAGAAGTGATAATACTCTGGCTTACATAAGTGTCTGGGAATGAAGAGTTTTAGGCTTAAGAGCAGAAAGAGACCAGACAAGATTATGAAACCACACTATACAACTTTGCTGTGAGACCCTGAACTCCCAAGTCAAGAATTCCATGCCTTCCCATTGTTTCCCGTGCCTGTAAAACTGCCACAGATTAAGTCAGGCACTGGAGTTCCTCACTAACAATTCTTCCTGTTTTATTTACTGAATACTTCATAGAAGGCCCCCTCAATGATTTGTAACCTATTCTACATAGGCCTGAATCCCTTGCCTTGTAGCCTGGAGGTCCAATGTGAGCAACTGCAACCAAAAAGAATGGAGAGAGAGAGGGAGAGACAGATAGAGAGACAGAGACAGAGACAGATAGACAAACACACACACACACACATAGGGACAGACAGAGAGAGAGAGACAGAGACAGAGAGAGACAGAGAGAGAGAGAGAGAGACAGACAGAGAGAGAGAGAGAGAAACTGATTTCCCTTCCTAGAGAGGATAATGCCTGTTGCCATCCCTTCCCCCACAAATGTGGGCTGGTGAAGAACAGGCCAGATCAGTGCTTTTTCCTGTGACACATATGCCTAGTGTGGCTAATGTTCTTGCTTGCTGACTCGCACCCATGGTGGGATGTCAAAACCTGGAATTCACTGCAACCTTGAGCTTTTTGGGCAGGGGAAAGACAGCGGCGCTGCTTCTGTTATGAGTTGCTCTTTCCTAATGGCTGGGACTGGGCCAAATCCACAGCTCAGGAAGGAACCTCGCTTCCTCAAGACAGGCTAGCCAGCCAGAGCTGAGGTGAGGAGAGTGCTGGGACCAGAGAGAAGGACTTTATCCCTCTCTGCTCTAGAGGGGACCAACATCTATACAACTTGAGGACATGGTTGTATAAAAATGATTTGTTCATTCTTGCATTGTTCACTGTGGGTCATTGCAAGGTCCTGGGAAAATTAGAAGACCAAAGACTGTTTTCTACTGTAATCTAGAAAAACAGGCCACCCTTTCCATTGGATGTTGGCTGTCCTCAGAGGAACTATCATCACCTGGGATGACTGTTCTCTGCCATGTGCATTGTGTCCTCCTCTCGTAAACACAGCCCACTCTTCATGAGTCAACAGGCCACACATGTCCGTAGGGGGGGTGGAAAAGGCCTGTTTTACCTTCTGAGTTCTCTTCTCCCCAGCAGGCCTGGTTAGTGCTTGGCCAGAGAAATGACATCTTCATGGTAAGCCTATACCAATAGGGACAAATTGGCAGTTCCTACCCCTAGGAAAGTAGCCATGTGTTATCTAAAGAGGCCAACCCGCTAACTAGGAATACAGCCGAGGCTAGTGATTGTTAAGTCCATATCCCAGTTTAGAAATCTGCAAGTGTAGCTCTGACATTGTCTCACACTCCCTCTCCCAGGAACTCTACAGAGTCTCTTCTCCCCTGGGAACTCCTTCCAGAGGGAAAGCCAATTACAATGCTAACTTCTCTTGCCTAAGCCTTCTCCACTAAGATCAGACAACTGGCCTGCACTGATGAAAGCTGTCAATGTCCTAGCATTTGATGGTCTCATCAACTTCTGGTCTCATAAGGACTGCTCTCGGTTGAGATACTATAAACTGTCCACTGCCCTATCCTTTTGAGTTTGAATCACACTGTCTTCATCTGCATTCCTTTTTTTCTTGCTGTTTTAAAGATTCTCAGTCATCTGTAATAATTCTCCAGCCTCATTACAGAGCTCATTATGTGACCAAATGGGACAGGCTCAGCAGAAGCTATGTCTACTGAAATAAATCATAAACAATTTAGATTTATGTGCACTCTCATCTCAGCACCCAAGGAGATAGGTGCTGTTTTTAATTAATTACCTCTGTTTTACTGACGAGAAAACATGGACTTTGAGTAATTTAACATTTGTCCAAGGTCACCCAGATGGCGAATGACAGAGCTAGGCTCAAACGTAGGACATTAACTACTATACCATGTTATTTCCCAACCATTCAGTAAACTTGGCCACAGTGTCAGGGAAACAGTTGCCACGGCCAAGAACTTGGGTGTTTGTACAACCCCTCCTGAGAGGGACATGTATGTGGATGACATCCAGGTATTGTTTACCCCACATTAGGAAGAATAGTTTCACAGCTTCCTTGGTAACCTGGTTCATGGTTTAATCATTAGTCTAAACTGTTTTAACAGAGTTTTATCAGTACACCATCAATTGCTCAATTCTGTGGGAAGGCAGGAGAGAGAATCACCTGGATGACCCACCCTTTGTGAACTTTGGAACAGTTGTGAATTTACGTCCTTTGGCTTTCTCTTCCCCAACACTAAGAATTTATCTCCAGATTTCCGCTCCCTATCTCCCACTTAGATAACTGAAGCTGCTTTTTGTATTAGTACATCTGGGGAATCTCTCAGATTCCCATGCAGTCACTTCCTCTGTACACAAAGCTTTGGAGAAACATGCATCTGAATTTACTCCCATTGTAACAGCTCATGGGTGTGAGGCCCTGACTGCAGATTGTCTGCCTCCTTTCTCAAACAGACTTGGCTAGTTCTCCTTCAAGGAACTCTACTTGGGTTTCAGAGGTAATGCACTAAGTATACTAAGACATGTTAAGGACAGAGAGTCACTCAGACACTTAGACACTTGTGTGTAAAGAGGATCACGGAGGAAAGGCAGCATAAACATCCACCAGGCAAGGCGTCTTCTGCCCCAGTAGAATATATTTTCCCTCACTGCTTCTTGGTTGTCCATTTCTGGTCCCTCAGCAGAAATGATATATTCTGTTGAGGTAATTGAATTATTCTCCCTCAAAGATCAGATAAAAAACTATCTGAAGGTCCTAGTCATGAGCCTGACAAGCCAGTATGTCCCCAATAGAAATGGTTTCCAGAAATGTAAATTCAAATCATCAGTTATAAAAGAACTACTCTTTGATATGGAGTACAAGCATAGTCATAAATCCCCCTTATTGCCCAAGCAGTGGGATTCCTCTTTCCTTCCGTATATGGTTGCCTTAGATGGGGACTGCCAGTGCATAGTCCTGTGCCCTTCTAAAAGGCAGTTCTCAGCAAAAGGATGAACATATATGCTAAGATTCAAATTATATAAGAGGAACCATTCTCAGAGTTCGGGGCCAGGAGATAATCTTGCTGCTACCTCCGTCAAAATTAGAGATCCAGAACAGAGGTCTCGAATCAACACTCGGTCACTGTCAGAGTGGAAGTTAGCCTTGAAGTCAGGGCTTGCTTTATGTCTGGTGAAGAGCTAACAACACATGACAGATACAGGATGAGAAGGGGACAGTGTAGGAAGGGACACCTGAGAGGACTCAAGTCCACCACAATTCTTTCAATTGTGGCCAATGAACGAGATATATCCTGAGACATTATCACATTTCTCCCTCTTTCTGTAACCTGACTTGGACACCAGTATTTTTGGGCAGTAAGTAAAGATTTGTACTGTTACCTAAAATAGCTAAAAGTCAGGTCAGAGAAAGAGATAAAGACATTAAAAAGAAGATGGTTACCCACACAATCCAGGTAGAAGAAGAAAAATTTTAGGCCCTAGTAATCATGGAATGACCCATCAAATGGGTGACGTTCCCTCTCACCATAGGAAGTTTCTTGGCACTATGGCCTCCGATAGCCCAGCATGAAGACCCTGCTCTCTGCAGACTCACCTTGTGTGCGGTTTCTGCAAACTGCTGAGCACTGTTCTTCATGTCTTCTGTCTTCTCTTCTGCTCGGCCTAACCGTTCCCCGCGCTCATTCAAGGCCTGGCTTGCCTTCTGTACTGCACTGGTCACGCTATCAGCAGCCGAATGGAGGATGCTGTTTCCTGGAAGGATTGCAAGAGTGTCAAGAGCTGGCTTGTCTAACTCACAGTGACAGATTCCCACACGATGGGAAGGCCAAAGGCAGATGGTACCAGAAAACAATTCTACATTGCTTTGGAGTGACTCATTTACCTCTAAAAAGAACACACAGGCCTGTCATTGGACAAGGGCAAATTTTGCCATCCTCTCTCTATCCCCACATCATCCATTCTGCTTGGGAAGGCTCAGAAAGATGGGGACCACTGGGATTTAAAAGTTACTTGCATAGGCAAATGGGAACCCTGACAAGTTCACAAAATTAGGCAAGTTCATTAAGACATATTTGGATATTATGCACACTTCCATTAATTAGTTTATTCGTCACATTTATTTGTTTATTTTTTCTCTCACTGTGTATATTTAGGTCAGATAACAACTTATGAAATTCGCTTCTCTCCTTCCACCATGTGAGTCCCAGCAATGGAACTCATTTAACTTGCTGGCAAGGGTCTTACCTGCTGAGCAACTTCAGTGCCTTATTTATTTTCAGAGACAAATATCTTACTCTGTTGTCTAGGCTAGCCTGGGAGTCCATCTTTCTGCCGCTGCCCCTGAAGTGATAGGATTCCACACTCAATAAAACCTATAGGAGGACTGATCCTAGGGCCTTGTAAATGCAAGGCAAACCATCCAACACCAGCTGCATCCTCAACGATATGGGTAAGGTGTTGTGATGGCTTCCAATCTCCAATCCTGTGCTATGGATTAGATGGCCAGGCTTCCTGTGTCAGCTCCAGAATATGAAAAGCAGAACACAGTACTGCATTCTATTAGCAGGTAAAACCATTAGAGAAACTGATAAATGAAGAACTTTAGCATTTGCAAACTCAGGAATGACAGCAAAGAAAGTAGAAGCCAACGACATCTCAAAAGATCACACATCCTTGATACTCCACTTGCCAACTTGGTGAAGAACTTGCAGGCACTTTAGCCACGGAGAACAAGCACACTGACAGATGACAACCTCTGGATAATTTATAGCTGTATTTTGTTAACATTTGAATGGGAGATATTCAATGGCATTCTATATAACAGCTTTATGTCTTTGTATAAGTTGATTCCATCATTTTATTTTGTGCCTGAGATGGATACTTCTAGCCACAGGTAGCTTTTAATAGAAATGCAATTTCCACTAGTCTCAGCTACAAGGGCTTCCTAATCTCTCCTTTGTGGGAACACTCTGTAGTCTGTGGGAAAGGAACTCAGGCAGAGTGCCTGGTACAGAGGCAGGATTTAAGGAATCACTTCCTATTTTTCAAGGCCCTAAAACATAGTAAGAGGTGGGGGCATTAGGGTTAACTAATAGTACCAGCTGTAGCCAGTACCACGTAGATACGTATGCATATATTCATCTAAGCACAGGGAGTACAGGGCTGGGGAGACGGTCCCCCCAGGGAAATCTGGTTGGGCACAGGGGGAAATCTGGGACTCGGTCTTACTATGCTTTTATACGGTACCCATGATTATGAGACAGTCTCTTATCACAGCTAACATTAACACAGCATTCTGTAAGCGTAAAAACACTCACAAATATCACTTCATTTTTTTCAAAAATTCCGGGGAAGCAGATTGGGCAAGTGGAAAAGTTTGTAGATGGTCGTCACACCAGCAAGTGACATGGTTACTGCCACTGGACCTCTGTGTGTGGATGACCCTATCCTTTTTAAACAGACACAGTGTAGCAGTCGCTATGACAGAATTGTAAGCAGACTGGCACCAAGGTATAGGTTTTAAAAGATGCATGATTAGCAGGTGTGTGTTTTGGCAGGCTGTTTCCCAGGGTAATTCCAGGCTGCTTCTGCCCTCAAAGTGTTCTTCTAAGTGAACAAAGAATTACTGCTTGTGCTACATGGCAAGCCAGGCGACACAAAGAAGGAAGAGGCTAGTAGGATGGACTAGGAAGACTGTGAGAGATGGAAGTCTCTTTGATCTATTCCCCCCTAAATGTACCACAGAGTAGCACCAAGAATACTGAAGAAAGATGAGGTAGGAGTCTGTGAATTTCAGTGTAACAGTTTATACTGACTGCCAACTGGACAGGGTTAGAGTCAGTCACCGAGGAGACATAGCTCTGGGAACACTTTCAAGGAGGTTTAACTAGGAAGCAAGACTTTCCCTGAGAGTGGGTAGTGCCGCCCCACAGGATAAGGCCTTTGACCGAATTACCACAGAGAACACAAGTGGAACACCAGCCTTCATGTGTGCTTTCTGGTTGTGGAGGTGATGGGAGCAACTGCCTCACAGTCCCACTGCCACATGCCTTCTTCCCATGATGGCCTACACCCAAACTGCGAAGAAAGGAGAGATCTCCTTCCCTGTAAGTTGCTTCTTGGTGGACGTTTGATTACACCAATGAAGAAAGGAAACACAAGGCTATAGTGACAGTTCAGTTGGCAGGATACCTACTGCACAAGTACCTCAGTTTGATCCCAAGAAACTAGCAGGTGCGGTGTTGCAGGGCACAATGCTGGGTAGGTAGAGATTGTTGAGTCCTCGGAACTCTCTGGCCAGTCAGCCTAGCCAAATCAGGACTTTCAGATCCTAGTGAGATACCCAGTCTCAATAATGTAAAGGGTCTGGAAGATAGTTCAGTGGTTAAGAATATTTGGTTCCCAGCACTCACATCAGGCAGCTCTCCAAGGCCTACTATTCTAGATCCAGGGGATCCTCTGCATCCATGGGCATCTTCACACATATAGGGTATACACACAGGCAGACATATACACATGAATAAAATCAAATTTCCAAACAAAGCGGAGAGCAATACAAGGAGAACACCCAAGGTTGACCTCTGGTCTACACACACACACACACACCACACACACATAGAGAGAGAGAGAGAGACAGACAGACAGAGACAGAGAGAGAGAGAAAAAGAGAGAGCTCCCCCCAATAACTAATATAGGAAATTGGAATGGAGAAATGGGACCATTGAGTGATTTACCTGACCGCTGTCTTATGGGAGAAATGGAAAGAGTGAACTTGTGGCAACAGAGACCCTAGAAAACCATCCTCAGAGCTTACTGGAGTCATACTGATATAACTCGTAAAGACAAAAATGCATCTCAAAGGAGAGCAACTGGATTGAGAAGGCCCTTGACCTAACTCCCTGTTAGAAATCAACCTCCCAGGAAAGTTCTTTTCTGGTATCAGCTGCTAAAGTGTACAGAGGACGCTATAGTTGTAGTATAAGGGGCCAGGCCGCCGCCTTGAGCCAGTAAGAGATCTGGGTGTTTTTGCCAAATGTGGTGCTGATCTTGCAAGCATTCAAAATGTAAGATTTCCAGAGTCATTATGACTTGATTAAGTTTCCTGAATGCCACAAGTGCCAGACAATGTGTGGCAGGGTTGGATTCCCTGTAAGGACATGAGGCCATTGTGCAAAGCTGTGAGGATGAATTATACGTCACACAGGACACCCGAGGAGATGCCAGTACAATGGGATCATAATCTCTGGAAGTTGCAGGCATGGAGTAGAACCATACCAAGAGACACTGTTATGTTATAGCAACAGCACTAGAGAGAAGTGGCTACCAAAGGTTGTTGGACCCCATGTGATGTCATGAGCCCCAGAAACGAGACATGCAGTGGCAGACAATAGATTTTTGAACGTGCTGACATTATAACGTTATGGAGACTTCTAAAGATGGAATGATTGCATTTTGTACTATGAGAGGCCATAAATCTATGGGGATAAGGGATTAAAAAGTGTTGTGTTTGATAGGGAAGTTGACAAGGGGTGTACCTGTGAGGGTTAATCTTAATTACCAATACATTAACAGAATTTACTGGTTCTAAGAGATATACCCTGGCTGTGTCTATGAGGGTGTTCTCAGAGAGATCTGAATGTAGGAGATGCTATGCCTGGGCTGGGGGACAGGGCTGACTAAGAAGGTGAAGGTGACTTACAGCATCAGCATTTGTCTTTCCTTCCTGACTGCAGATGCAATGTGGCCATCTGCCTAATGCTCCTGATGGCATAGCTAGAGTTGCTGTCCTGGCCACTTCTTACCTGTTAGTACAGATTGTATTTCAAGGTATGAACAAGAGAACCCCTCCCTTATATAGCTTTTGCCAGGCATTTTGTCATAGCAGTGAGAAAGTAACTAGTACATCTTTGTTAAGAATAATTGTATTATCAGTTACAGGGACTTTAGACGTAATTGCACTAAAATAAAAAGAGCATATAGTCACTATATTTTTGTCCAATTATAATTGACCCATATGACTTCCTAAGTTATATACACCTATGAATTTGAACTTAATCACTTATGCATAAGGCATGCTGTATGTATGTCATGATTTTCTTGAAATGAATCTTGTATATGATGTTAGGTAATGTGACATCCAGTTTCTTATAGCTGCTAAATCAAATACTGCACTCACTGTTTAAAGATGATGCTGATTGATGATCACTACCAATAGGAAATTCACCTTCAGTTATTTTCAGGTACAAGAATGAATCTGAAAAAAAATCTCATTCTTTCTTTTGAGATGATCTTTTCTAGTTTCAATTCTACACACATTGTAAGGCCTAGGGAATCCCTGTCACCTATCAGGCTCTAGCTCAATTCCACTACTTCCCATACTGATAAGCGCTATCCATGTCCTCCTAGGGTGCTTAACTAAGTATATAATCATTGTACTTAAACCAAGTGGACCTCTTCTCTTACTTCACTTTCTCAGCCTCCCATGCCACGACTTGCAGATGGATCATAAACGTCTTGAGCATCCCTGTTGACCATTCCCTAAATCTGTAATTGTTTTCCTCTTTTGACTTAGATCTGGTCACTCGACTTTCTTCTTTCTGCAATCCTTACATATACTAATTCTGGCCTCTCCCTGTGTCAATATTACCCAGCTTATAGTTTCCAATCTTCATCTTTCATAAGACAGTTCTCTGAGCTCAGACCCATGTACCTCCTTACTGGACTCCAACTGAATACCCCAAACTTCCCTCAAA